CTTTCATTAAGGTACGAGTGCTTCTTATTCCACAAGAACGAAAGAACCTTTTCATTCTTTCATATACTAGGGGTTTTTACTTGGAAAAGACAATGTTCCATACTAAAGGATTCGGGTCCATAACCACGAGTTCCAGTGCACTAGATCTTGTAGCACTTATCAAGGAATCCCTATCCATTAGTATTCCACATAAGAAATCCATTCTAGAAAAAAATACAATTAGATTAGCTCTTCATAGAAAAACTCGGGGTTTGTGAGCCAAGGTAAGATTGGCTCGGGATCATGGGACCCTTTTCTATCAGATAGGAGGGGCTCTTGTACAAAATATACTTACTAAGTAATAACCCCATAGAATCTATCTATATAAAGATAAAGAGGCAATCGTGTCAGGAAGCGGGTTTTTGTTTGGCCAAAAGGTACTTCGAACTTGGAACGAGCATGAAGAGATTAACGAGACTTCTTTCTCTTTTGAGTTTTTCTGGCGGACCTGCCGCGCAAGATCTTTGGTCTTCCCCTGAAACCGATGAAAAAAAGTGGATCGCTTCTTATGTACTCGCTCAGAATGATTCTTCTCTATCTATAGTTAATGGCCTATTATAAGTAGAAGGTGCTCTGGTGCAATCCTTACCGACATAAAAAGGTTGTAGTCATGTTGATAATAGTCGAGTGACATTACTTCGTCGGTCCGAACTAAGGAATCTGTTAGAAATGTTTTGAAATGGATATTGTTCTCTCTTTGATCAGGGATTGCTATATGAAAAGAAGTGCAGTTTGAAAAAGGGAACGGAATGCTCAAACTGGAACTGCTAGAGGAATGAATTTTCAATAGCATAACTTGGCCTCCTAGAATATGGCGCCCTTGGGACAATCTATTTGATTGCAGGGTTTTGTTCCGAAGCAGAGATATCCGCGGAGGCTCGTTCGTTTGTCCTATTGTGATATTCAGGACCAAGAGGTACTGGATTCTCTTTCAGATAGGCCCTGAAAGGAGAAGAAAGGCTAAAATGCCAATGGACCTCTGTCTATTCTCTAATTCACCCGATCCGATAGTACCCGTTTTTGGAACGTCCAGTGCCAAAGTCATTGAATGGGTAAGTCACCAATCCAATCCCTTTGACAAATCGGATGTCATATTAGATATCATATTCTATATATAGAAATATCATAGATAGAATAGACATATAGTAAGTTAGAAGGAATCATTGAGTAAAAAAGAAGCAAAGAATGACAAAAGACGAGACTCTACTAGTCTTCACTCTTGTGGTTTCCTATTCCTTGGTTTCTGTTTTCTTATTCAAGATCTTTCCTTTCATGGTTCTCATCTCTGCAACTCGCAATTTTCGCGAGAGAACCAAATCCAAGTTGGTGAAGATCATGATTTGGGCTGGCACGGGGATCGTTTGATCGATTTCCTTGATTTGATTGCTACTTAATGGGCGTGCGCTCAAAGGATACAAACATGGATTCGCAAACAAAAAGGGGAATTCATAGTCACTTTTTCCTGTCGAGTAAAAAAAAGTCTTTACGCGAGAGCAATAGAGGTTGGGA